AACATAATATTTACCCTATATTGTTACACATTATTGTGCATTTTAAACACACATATAAAGGTAATTACTGTTTATTAATAGAGGGCGCAGTCGCCACTGCATTTCAACATTGCTCAGAATGTGAAGACAGCTAAGACGGAGGTGATACGAAAAAAGTACCTGGTAGCAGGTATAAGTACAACTTTTACACAATGGAAAACCAAAAGAAGACGAGTCGAGCTGGTACCTTGCTGTGGAAAAGGGGCTTTACCGTCTCTCTCTCCTGCATGTCAGCTTCGATGACTTTCTCCATCAGTAGTAGGCTAGGGTGTATAAAGTCACCGAGCTGCATGTTGAGGAGGCATGTTGACGACGTAGCCTATCAAAACAAAACCAACGTGGTTATGGCGGGTGGGTAGTGTCAGAGCGGTAGCTAACGAATGACATGTGACTGGTGTGTTCACTGTCGCTTGACCTGGTCCGCTCTTGTAAAATATCCAGTGTGGCGACTTGTAACAATCAACGTGTTTCTCTGATAAATGCTACAGTGTGTCGACTAATCTCGGCGGCTCGCCAAAGTAAAGTGTATGTGTGGCGTGGCCGTTTGTGATAAGTTCCAATTAAATGGGTTTAAAATACACTCAAAACCCTGAGCCCTAGGACTCCGACACAGAGGTACCATAACCACCATACTCGGCCGATTCCTCCATCCCACTATGGCGGGTGGATAGTGTCAGAGCGAGGATTACCAGGAGAAGGAGCAGTCTACCCTGCCGTCGCTGCTGCCTTAAAGCCGTGTCACACAAACTTCGTCACTAGGTACGTCGCATTAAAACCCAGCATCTCCACCGGTTGCTCCGTCTGCTCCGCAGTCCTCACCGCTCGTCCTACAATAAAGGAAGCACTGGCGAGTAGTGTGATCTCGTCAAATAACCCGCATCCTATGCCTCACGATCCCGACTGTGCAGCCCTCCCCTGTCCTGGTCCTCTGTGCTGCCTAAATTGAGATACTCAAAATGTTACTCGGGGTTTCCCCAGGGGACAGTCGCACTGTTCGCCCAGGCCTGAGTGGAGTTGCGTTGGCGGACACTGGCTGCTGCGGTCGTCTGTACTTGTGTTGCTGCTGGCTCTGTCCAAATCAGCCCGGTGCTTCCTTGCAGACCAGATTACTTCCCCACTGGTCTCTCGTAACTGCTGTCCTCCTGCTCAATGCCCCCTGCTCAGCGCCCGACGCTGGCTGACTTCCTCTGCTGCTCTCTGCCCCCTGCCCTCCATCCACGTCAGTGGAGGTGTGTGGTGTTTAAGGGCAGTCCAGCCAGTAGGTACAATAACTTAAAAAACACATAAATTAAAACACACCAATGGTTAAAACACAACATGCTAAAACACCCTCTGCATGCAATAAAAATACAACACACCAATAAAACATTGCAAATAAAAAAAAAACACACCAGATGCATAAAAACGGTTACTCATTTTTCTGGCCCTGTCACATATGTGTGGGAAGCACTGACTGAACCATGCTTTTCTTTTTACAAGCCAGGTCTTTAACAGTGTCAACCAGCACTGTGTCTCCCTCCATGTTGTTGAGCGTTTGTAAGTAGATGGCTGCGTGCAGACCACGCAGAGGGGCAGAGCAAACACTGGCAGGACTTTACAGAAACATATTAATTAACTCAACATCAAACTATATCGCTATAAACGGTATTGTCTATTTTCATATCTCTTTTAATTATATCGGTATACATTATATACTGATATACCGCCCAGCCCTAGCCTGGGAACGTCCCCGCTGCTCGTTCAGGTCCAGGCAGGTTTCCTCTCAGCTGACTGTAACCACAATCAGCCCAGCGGGAACCTCCAGGTCTGCGGTCAAAAAGTCAAAAAAAAAAGGTCCTTTCCTAAACACTTTTCCTTGACCTCGATGGAAAATGTCATGAGGTAAAGGAAAGAATTCAGATGGATTTAGGAAAAGACGACTGCGGGATTCAGAGAATCCGACTGCTCTTTTCTAGGCTATGTAATTATATGACGGCGGATGTTACTGACGTGGTGAAACTATAATGTTCTGAAGATGGACTACAAAAAGTGCATCTTTGACACTTCACCCCGTGTTGTTTTAATGCAGGCTGTCAAAAGGTGGACAACACGGTGAAAATAGTTATTTATTACCAAGGTAGCAAAAAGGCATATAGGGTTCCGGTTTCAACATTATCCCCACTTTGATCAAGACTAGTGACATAGCTCATAAAGGTCTCAGTTAAGGTCTTGCTAATATGCATATTAGCAAGTTATGGCATAAGACAGAAAAGGCCTGATAGCCAGTGGTAACTTACATGGTGATCAACGTGCTTTATCTGTCATGGTACATGGATTTCTTTTTTTTTCTATTGTCGAAAATTCAGGTACAACACTTTATGGCATAGTTCAACAATCCGAAGCATAACAAGGTGTTGAAACAGTCTAAGATTTCAACAAAGCCAAAGAAAACAAACCAAAGAATCATAAATGAGTCCAATATAGAATAAAGTTTCCATGCATTCTTGTCCGTCATGTATTACAAAGATTTAGCAAAATGTGGTTGATAGATTTTATCGTTTGAGTTTGAGAAAGGTGCGTCACTTTAAATGTTGCTGCTGCAAGGAATTGTGGGATAGCATTAACTCATTTCCTTTGGTAAAGGAGGGTCCAGTGTACCATATGCTAAAGGAGGTAAGAAAGGAAGCACCTTTCCTTAGCTTTTAGAGAATTTGAACCGCTCTTATCATGACTGCTGCTGAAATACAAAACGCAGAGGGTTAAATACTCCTCTGTGATGAGAGGGGATGTGGGACTGCTAGTACATAACACCAACACGCACTAGTTCTGTCTGCTGTGACAGGCGAGCGCTTCTGACTCACTTTACTGTTTACCTGACTCACATCTTGGAGCCACGGAAGAGCATTTTTTTCATCGAGGTAGAAGGAATCGCTGTGTCTACTATCACTTTTTTTAGACTGCTTTCTATGTAGTATCACAGCTGGAAAGTTGCTTCCCTTTGGTCAACGTGGGCTCAGTAAGCATAGCGGATGACTTAATCAGTGGTGGTACAGGCTACGTCCCTGAAGATGGGCTCTCAGCTCAGCAGCTCTTCTCGTTCGAAGACGGCCTTACATACAATGATTTCCTGATTTTACCTGGCTTTATCGACTTTACCTCAGATGAAGTGGACCTGACCTCAGCTTTGACCAGGAAGATCACATTTAAGACCCCTCTCATCTCCTCCCCCATGGACACTGTCACTGAGTCAGCCATGGCAATTGCTATGGCACTAATGGGAGGTATTGGCATCATTCACCAAAACTGCACACCAGAATTCCAAGCCAGTGAGGTCCGCAAGGTCAAGAGGTTTGAGCAGATTTTTATCACTGACCCAGTTGTGATAAGTCATCGCCACACAGTTGGGGACGTGTTTGAGGCCAAAGTAAGACATGGCTTCTCTGGTATTCCTGTCAGAGACGGGCAAAATGGGCAGCAAACTGGTGGGCATCGTTACCTCCAGAGATATTGATGTTCTTTCTGAAAAGACCACTGCAAACCTCTGGAAGAGGCCATGACAAAGAGGGAGGAGTTGGTTGTGGCTTGAGCAGGTGTCACTCTGAAAGAAGCCAATGATATTCTGCAGCACAGTAAAAAAGGCAAGCTTTCCATTGTAAATAATAACAACGAGCTGGTGGCCATCATTGCCAGGACCGATGATAGCTCAGAGAAAATGCGGAGTGCTACAAACCCTCTCACATTTTTCTTACTTTAGAAACAGTATCACCGTGTTTATCATTATTCAGCTATGTAGGCATTTCTAACATTTTCATAGTGGATGTCCAGCATGAATATAGAGTTAAGTGAGATATTGGGTTTACAGGTTATAATGGTTTTCTCAGGAGTTACTTAGTGAAAATCCTATAGTGACGGTGCCTGTCCCCCGACCATCAAAATTATTTAAAAAGGTAAACAGAAGAGGAGCTGTGCATAAAAACCTCCATAAAAATTAAAACCACAAGAGCAATAGTGCAAACGAATAGGAGAGTTAAATGTGGACTCTTAAACATCAGATCTCTCTTCTAAAGGTGTACTAGTAAATGAACTAATATCAGATTATGATATTGATTTATTTGGTCTTACTGAAACCTGGCTGGGTGATGGAGAATATGTTAGCCTAAATGAATCCACCCCTCCCAGTCATATTAATACTCACATTCCTCGAGGCACAGGCCGAGGAGGTGGAGTTGCAGCTATCTTCGACTCTAGCCTACTAATCAGCTCTAAACCTAAACTAAACTAAACTCATTTGAAAGTCTTGTTCTTAGTCTTTCGCACCCAAGTTGGAAATCACTGCAACCAATTCTTTTTGTTATAGTGTACCGAGCACCTGGTCCGTACTCTGAATTTGCAGAGTTTTTGTCAACTTTAGTCCTTAAAACGGACAAAGTTATTATTGTAGGGGATTTTAATATTCATGTGGATGTTGAGAATGACAGCTTCAGTACTGCGTTTATCTCTCTGTTAGATTCCATCGGCTTCTCTCAGAGTGTTCATGAACCGACTCACTGTTTTAACCACACCCTCAACCTTGTTTTGGTGTATGGTATTGAAATTGAACATTTAATAGTGTTCCCACAGAATCCCTCTTTATCCGACCACTGTTTGATAACTTTTGAGTTTGTATTGCTGAACTACACACCATTGGGCAAAAATTTCTATACAAGATGTCTGTCTGATAGTGTTGTAGCTAAATTTAAGATGCGATTCCATCAGCTCTAAATTCATTATCAGTCACAAAGTAACGGAGGACTCCTATGCTAATTCAGTCCCTCCCAAATCGATCATCTTGTTGATAGTGCTGCAGGCTCGCTGCGAATGACACTCGACTCTGTAGCCCCTCTAAAAAAGAAAATACTAAAACAAAGACGGTTAGCTCCATGGTATAACACTGAAACTCGCAAATTAAAGCAAATATCACGGAAACTTGAGAGGAATTGGCGTTCTACCAAAGTGGAAAATTCTCTTTCAACTGTGAAGAAAAAAAACAAAAACCTGCTGCTGAAATACTTCCAGGCATTTCACTCAGTTAGGAACCTTCTTGAGCAAAAAGACTTTTCAACTGCAGACCAGGTCTGAAAAAAGTAAAGCCAATGCATAAGCACCTTAAACCTGCATTCTCTCTAACAGCCATCAGGGGGCGACTCCACTAAAAGAAGTGTGATTGGATAGAAGTCTATGAGAAAATGAGGCTACTTCTCAGCTGATTTATTACTTCAGTAAACACTTTCCTAATGAGTTTATGGTCTCAGTCTTCACTCCCACTCTTTTGATTCCTAGTGACTGCAGGGATACTGGTTCTCAATGTGTGTCTGTCCTCTGTTAGGAAACTGGGAATGGACATCTACTCGGGGACGTTTGCTCTCATCGGAGCTGCCGCCTTCCTTGGAGGTGTGGTCAGAATGACCATCAGTCTGACTGTCATCCTAATCGAATCCACCAATGAAATCACATACGGGCTGCCCATTATGATCACACTAATGGTACACTGTCATGTTATTTACTCCGACCACGGTGTTTTTGATGAGATCACGGTGTTACATCGCTGAATAGATGTGTTGATGATGTGTTTCCTGTCTTGTGGTTTTGTGTGAATGTCAGGTTGCTAAGTGGACGGGAGATTTCTTCAACAAGGGCATCTATGACATCCACATCCAGCTGAGAGGAGTGCCGCTGCTGGAGTGGGAGACAGAGATCGAGATGGACAAGTAAGATGTGTTGTTGGACAAACAGCTGTATACTTGTGCAGGTATTCTGGTGACTTGCTGAATGTTGTTGATACGGCCCAGCGACATCCACAGAAAGCTCTCTAAAATCACACAAAGCTCTTTATTCATGCTCTGCTCATCTGTTTTATTCACACTGTTCAACCAAGAAATCTAGTTTCATGTTCATGATGGCGTTTGGAAAAAAAAACTTGATATAAAGTAAAACTCTGTGCAGGGAAGGTTAGAAGCCAAGAACAGGCTTATAGAGATACCACCCATGTAAGTGACACTAGTTACACTAAGCAGCAGTGAAAATGTAAAAATGTACACAGTGAGATGAATTACAATAAGATCTTAAAAGTCATTGATTAGAGATCTACTGTTTTTTTTAAATGATGATAATGTAGCTGATGATTGTAGTGATGCCAGTAAATGGTCCTCTGTATTTCACTGTAAATTGGTTATGGGACATCCGACACGATGGGAGATGGAAGTCCTTAGAGTGTCTTGTATTATATGAGTGGATCTCTGTGGACAGCTTAAAAAATATATTGGAAAGTGCTGAGCAAGTCCTGGGTGAAATGTCCTTATACATAAACACACAGGTCTGCTATCTGTTCACATTAACAACTGAGGAGAGGAGCAGATGAATCATATGTTCTAGCAGTGTTGACGCCAGAGAGACAGAATAAAGATGAGTGATTCTAACCAGGAGCTAGCAGCTAACAGTGTGCTGAAGGCTTGTCCTACTCTGTGACTCTTCACAGCCGCCTGAAAACACTGACAGCTCAAAGTCAATAAGACCTTCTCTCCTCAGTAATAACCTCAGGACCATCCTCATCCAAAGGTAACAGGTTACCGGGTGCAAAAACTGCACACGTCATCTCTGTTTTACCAAGTTTAACTAAAGCAGCAGACTTAGAGAGCCGGTAGACGTGCAGCCGTTGTGAGCAACACAGGGCAGCGTGGAGGCAGGACTGTTTCTAAATGTCACTGTCTGTTGGCAGGGATCCTTTCATTATGTAAAACAGACAAATCTAAAATAGTGCATTAACCATTGTGACCGCTGGATCTTCATCCTGTCCAGAAAAGTGAAAAGAGTCATCATGAGGCTGCAGGATATCTGATGATGATGTGCACTCAGTACATCATCAGCTTCACAGGGCCAATGTTTCCCTTTATAAACTCTCCCTGGGTGTTTCCACCATCAGGGTGAGTGTTCATGCTCTCAATGTTTCCCTCATCTTTCCAAGGCTGACTGCCAGTGACATCATGGAGCCCAACCTCACCTATGTGTACCCCCACACCCGGGTCCAGTCTCTGGTCAGCATCCTGCGCACCACCGTCTACCACGCCTTCCCCGTGGTCACTGAGAACCGGCAGAACGAGCGGGACTTCATGAAGGGGAACATCCTGGTCAGCAACAACATCCGCTTCAAGGTACGTCATGAGCCGCTGGACACTTGTAGTCCCCTCATGCATGGTTCAAATTACGGGGGGGAATGGGGGGCTTTGACCCCTCTAATTAAGTCTTGGACCTCCCCAAAGGGGCAAAAACAACAGTTCAGGGGGGTCTTTCTTACCTGTCATTGTATTACAATATATTTCCCATATTCATGCCTTATATTCAAGAATCTGGAAATACAATTTCTGACCCCCCTAAAGTGGACTGTACCGTTTCCTATCTTTGACGTTAGTACAACGTCTGTCTGCCCACATCACTCACAGCGCAGCTGCTCCGGTCCAGTGCATCATACGCTGGTGGAGATGCTGCAGGTTAATGTCAGTAGTTAGCTGTCTAGCTTCTTTAATACACTTAACTTTCCTACCTTCAGAGTTTCATAATTAGCATTTATTTTACTTAAAATGAGCTATGTGATGTTAGCTAGCTGATAGTCCACCCTGGCATTTCATTACCACTAGCCTATGTCATTTCATATTTTATGTAATTGTCAGCTAACACTGGTGTTTAGGCATGAGCAGTGAAATTGAGGATTAGTTATTGTAGATACACATTTTGACATCAATATAGAGTTTATTATTTCATTTTAAGTATTTTGTGAGTCTTTCTACAATAAGCATGAAATGTGTTTTCACTCTGAAATTCAGGAGTTTCACCTGCCCAGGTAATGTTAAAATCCATGTTTGTTATTTCAAATGTATTCAGTTTAATTTATATATCGCCAATTCACTACAAAAGGCATCTCATTGCACTTTTTATATAAAGCAGGTCTACACCGTACTCTGTTTAATATAATTTACAGAGACCCAAAACACAGTACATGTGTACTGTGAGAGACAGGTGGACAATAAGACTGTGAGACTGACTGTGAGACAGGGAGAAAGGTGGACTAAAAGACTGTGAGACGGACTGTGAGACAGAGAGACAGGTGGACTAAAACACTGTGAGACAGAGACACAGGTGGACTGTGAGACGGACTGTGAGACAGAGACACAGGTGGACTGTGAGACGGACTGTGAGACAGAGACACAGGTGGACTATAAGACTGTGAGACAGAGAGACAGGTGGACTAAAACACTGTGAGACAGAGACACAGGTGGACTGTGAGACGGACTGTGAGACAGAGACACAGGTGGACTATAAGACTGTGAGACTGTGAGAGGGACTGTGAGACAGATAGAGAGGTGGACTATAAGACTGTGAGACAGAGACACAGGTGGACTATAAGACTGTGAGACTGTGAGACGGACTGTGAGACAGAGAGAGAGGTGGACTAAAAGACTGTGAGACAAACTGTGAGAGAGACAAACAGGTAGACTGTGAGAGAGGGAGACATGTGGACTATAAGAGTGTGACACCGTGAGACACAGAGACCCAACTGTTTCCAATGAAGAGAACAGTGTGTGTGTGTGTGTGTGTGTGTGTGTGTGTGTGTGTGTTAGTTGTAGTACCAGGTAGTAGTAGTAATTAGTGCAGTAGTAGTGGTTGTAGTAGCAGATGCAGTACTCTGGATGCAGTACACTTAACTTCATTCAAGAAATAGCTTAATGTCTGTCCACCAATCGGAACACAGGACCGTGTGTGTGTGTGTGTGTGTGTGTGAGAGAGAATGTGTGTGCGTGTGTGTCTCCCTTTGATCTCTCTCTGCTTATTAACATCACCTGGGCAACCAGCTATCCTAGATAGACAGACAGGAAACTCTCTCTGAGACTTTGCCTCAAACAAACCACCTGCGGCAGAAGGCATTTCTGAACAATATGATCTATTTTTTGTTTGGATAAAGTAAAAAAACTGGTACGTTCTGCTCTGGTCGAGAAATGCTGAGGAGAATTTACTATTGAAGCCTATGGAAGATTTTCTGTCACTCTTGTCCTTTGGAAGGACACAGAGACAAAACTATAAGTCTGAGGGATTTAATAAGCACATGTGAGGAACCACAACAAAATTTACTACGTTTCTGGTGTAAAATTATGCACAAAGAGTTAAAATTGTGGTCAAGCCAGCGAGTTAAAAAGAAAAATCTAAGAAGATTTTGCCAGCCTGCGACACTGTAGTGATGATGTCACCCACTCTAACTCACGCAATACACACCCATTATAAACTCAGAAAAGAGCTTAAAAAAAAGCATAAACTTCAACAGCGACCGTGAACAAACCATAAAACATATCAAAAAGCTGAATGCATCATTAATAGATTAACTTCTTGTAACCAATTTACAGTTTAAATCACGTGTGTAGCTGAAAGTATGCTGAACTGGTGAGCTTTCAAAGTGGAGTAGGTATGAGGAGGATTTTGACAGTCTCCATTCACTTACAATGGGAGAATTTTCCTGGAAAACCTTGAATAATTTGGAAAGTATTCAAGGTATTAATGAAAGTAATAGCACCCCATTCCTCATTGAGCCGGACAACTTGAGTTTGAACAGAGTTTCTACGTCAAAAGCTGTGGGACTAGTTAGCGCACGAAAAAACATGACGGAAGAATAATAATAATAATAATAAAGCTTAGCAACAACATATACATTATAGATGATAATGCAGACTGTATTTTTTGATGGTGTCTTTGGTTCTGGTTCAGTATTGTGTGGGTCTGCTTTTGTGGGTCTGAGCTGCTGGCAGTTTTGGTGTAGAACAGACTAGCCTACTTGGGGCTGTGTGACTGCAAAAGTTGTCGTGTGGTATGGGGCACCTGTGAACTGATGTAATGAATTTAATTCATCATCTACAGACTGCAGGCATTAGTTACATAAACAAGGATATTGTAAGCATTGTAAGATTTTAGTTTACTGAAGCCCGCACCTGCGCTGTACTGGGTTTTCTTTTTGACCTGGAAAAAAAGTTGACCCCCCCGGTTGTCAATGTATAATTCGCACCCTGCCCTCACGTCCAGAGCGAGCGCAGCGTCCCGCCGGCAGGCAGGCACGACCTTGGGGTAGCCAGCAGATGGAGGTGCAGGTCAGAGCTACAGGAAGTTGGACAGGACTGAGGGACGGACTGACAGGTTGATGTCTGAACATGAGAATTGTTGATAAGAAGAAAAATATAGATTTAATCCATACTCTGATATCTCAGGTTATGTTAGGTCAAGAATAAAACACTGGATTCTTAATACACTGGATTAAACTCAAACAGATGTTTCTGTCTGATCTATTTATCTATAAACAGTTTATGAATTAAAGTTACATAAATATTCAATACTCTAATAACTGTTGATGTCGCCATGTAGAGTTACGCATACTGTGATAAAAGTTTTTCCGTATTCCTCACTGAACTGAATCAGTCAGTTACATTTTCTGAATTAAATCGATGAATGAGAAAATTATTTTCTGTTTGGCTGAAGCAACTTTTCGTGCCTCAGCAGGTGAATGTTTAAAGTTGAGTGTTGCAGCAGCAGACTGACCTCTCAGTGTAAACCCACATCCACTGTCGCGTGCAGAAGTCCAGCGTGATGTCCCGTGCAGGGGAGCAGCGGCGGCGCTGCCAGTCCATGAAGTCGTACCCGTCCAGTGAGCTGAGGAACGTCTGTGACGAGCAGAGCGCCGCGGTGGAGCCGGCCGAGGAGGGCGAGGATCTGCTGCAGCAGATGTTGGAGAGGAGGTAGGACAGACTCACAGGCGCTCCAGCAGACAGAAGGTCCACCTGTTCAGGTAACCTGGCATCCGTCAGTGTCACAGTACCGACCCAGCCCTCCTGTCCCCCTGCAGGCACGCTCCCTACCCCAACCTCTACCCAGATCAGTCCCCCAGCGAGGAGTGGACCATGGAGGAGCGCTTCAGACCGCTCACCTTCCACGGCCTCATCCTGCGCTCACAGCTGGTCAACCTGCTCATCAGGGGGTCTGCTACACTGAGAACCAGTCGGTCAGTCACACACACACACACACACACACACACACACACACACACACACACACACACACACACACACACACACACACAGGTAAGACTCATTTTAATCAGGGTACCCGCGGGGTCTTAAAAGTTTTTAAAAGGGTGGTGATGGAGCAGTGGATGCCTTTGGTGTGAGAAACCTGGGTTCAAATCCCCACTGTACACTTAACCCCTCGTTGCTCCAAAGGCGTGTGATCTGTGACATATATAGCAATTGTAAGTCACTTTGGAGAAAAGCATCAGCTAAAATGAATAAATGTAATGTAAAAAAGTCTTAAATTTAATATTCTAAAAATAAATAAACCTTATAAGTGTTAAATTTCATTTTCATTTTTCTTGTCGTTTCATAGGATTACATAAATGCCGTAACATCATAAATAAATATCTTATGTGTGTTTGACTTTAGAATTTACTAGATGTGACTCGGATGTGATACGACAGTACAGATAACGTTACTGTTTACGTCAGTGTTTAGCTTTACACTGTGGACTGTGCACGAATCAGTCAGTTGTTAGGAAAGAAAAGAAAACGTCTCTGATGTGCTACTAACAAGCTTGTTAGCTCGTTGACTCATAATGTGCAAGTGTCTGAAGTACAGAAGGCCAGAAATGCGGACAAGTTGGTGGACGAGGCTGAGGGCAGTGGCGCTGAGGTTAGCACAACAAGCAGATTGGCGTGCGAGTCAGTCACAGCATGGCGAGCGGTAATGAAACAGTGGAGCTGGAAGACCTGTCTGCAGGTTCCTGATCAGTTAACGTTACAACAGCAGCAGAGAAAGTTGTGTATGAGATGAGGACTGTCTGTGTGTTGGCGTTGTTGTAGGGTAACGTTATGTGAATGGAAACATCCAACATGCTAATGCACATTAAACTACATCACCCAGATGCCCCGATCACCAGGACGAGGAAAAACAAACCGGAGCCCAACTCTTTATCCAATACTATATAATACTATATTTCAAGCAGTCGTTGGATGCAAAAACAGAACAGGATGAATAATCACTGAAGCAACTGGCAGCTAGGCACATTATATTGCATTACACTACCTTATCTAGCCAAGGTGTAACTAATTGGAACAACTCAAACTGCACAATTTATTTTATATGTTTGGTTTCACACCATAAGAGTTCTGACTGTGACAAATAATTTATTAATTTCATAGGTGTCATTTACACTGGGGATGCTGGAGATGTGTCTCCATCACTTTCTTTAAATTTGTTAAATATGATCTGAAAAATGGCTTACTACAAGAAATGTTAAAAGACAAATGAAAATGCTTTGAGAAAGCTTTATTTGCACAATAAAAAAACATGCAGTGCAATGTAAATATAGAAGAAACAAATGTTGATTGTCCAAAAAACCCCAACTTAAGCTAAAAAAACAAGCTGCTGATTACATTATATTCTGTTCTGAAAATGTCTCCTGGTTGCAGGAAATTGAGTGTTTAATGCTCAGAATGTTCTAGGGGACCCCCAGACCCCCCATTTATATCAGCATTGAGTATTTCATCAAAATAGTGTTAAAATATCTTCTTGTCTTGTTCTCATGAACCCAATATTGTGCATCATGCATGTGAGCTAAGTGTATCGTCACACCCCTAATCTGAACCCCTATGTCCTCACCACTTTTCAACGTGATTTATTTTATGTTATCAGAGTACAATCACACCCCAAAAAGCTGTAGTGTTTGAAATAAAAATGTGAGTATTATAATAAAATGTTTTATTAAATTCAGGAAACTTCATAATAATCATTTCTCGAGCTTAAAATTCATACAAATTTTCCATTATTATTATTCTTATTTTCCATTCAATTTCATCCTAGGTGGTATTATAAAGGTCTTAAAAAGTCTTAAATTTAACTTGGAGATTCCTGGGGGTACCCTGTTAATGTACATCCACCTGTTTGCCTCTCTGTACGTCCACCACAGAGCGCCACCCAGCCCAGGCTGTCCTACGCAGAGATGACAGAGGATTACCCACGTTACCCTGACATCCATGACTTGGACCTCGCCCTGCTCAACCCCCGCATGATAGTGGTACGACCCATTTAAACAGAGTCATAAGAGTCCACTTTTCCCCCAGTGGAGACACATAAAATAAGATGTTGTGATCTTTAAACATGTCTCCGCAGGACGTCACCCCCTACATGAACCCGTGTCCCTACACAGTGTCACCCAACACCCGCATCTGCCAGGTGTTCAACCTGTTCAGGACCATGGGCCTGCGACACTTACCTGTGGTCAACGCTGTGGGGGAGGTGAGTTGTTCTCCTCCAGAATGACTGGTTCCTCCGGTCTGAGCGGCTTCTGATGAGTCTGACTGAGCTCTTGTTTCTGCTGTCTCTTTCAGATTGTCGGAATAATCACAAGACATAATTTAACCCACGAGTTCCTGGTGGCCAAACTGCGACAGCACTACATCACCATTTGAGTCGACTCTGGACGTCCTGCCGTCCTCCTCCGACCCCCCCAGACTCTGTTCAGCCTGGTCCTGAGCCTCTTGTCTCTGTCCTTTCCTAACAGCATGTTCCCAAACACTTTCAGGGCTTTCACAACCACACACACGTTCTCCGTCACCCAGTCAGGAACACACTTCTCCAATAAGTGAAACCATTCAGTTGTATTTCACATTTCCAGTGTAGCGTTGTCAGCCTCCGATCCACCGGGCCGGACACATGTACTGTAGGTACCATACAACAGTTATGGAATAGATAATTGCTAATGTAACTGGAGGACTGAGAACAGGTTTCTTTTTTTAAATCAGGAGATCGCTTCGTTAGCAGCATCACACAGTCCCAACATGAATTATATCTGTGGTCTCCACACAGATGAAGACCAGCCCTGAAGATTTGTTCAGTGATTCTGACAGGTCTGAAGTTGAGCTCATTGGCTGCTGTTTCTGCTGGTTGGAGACGCAATTGACCAATCAGAGCTTGCTAGGCAGAATTCAGACTGAGGAAGTCATCGTTAGCTAGCTATAGAACTACATCTGGGAAAACATGCAAAACAGAAACAGAGCAGACTTGCAGTGGTGCTGTGCCATGCTTCTGACGGCCCATTATTCCAAACTCCAATAGTCTGAAAAATGTCTTACTGGACCTAAAGCCCATTTGTCAGCCCGTTACCCCGAAAAACAAATTCCCAATGCTCTGAAAATACCAGTTGTTAGTTCAGTGGCTGACCCCGAGTCTGTGGTGCTCAGTCGGCGCTGATTTTATTCCCTCGTTGGAAATTTGTCTGCGACAGTAACATCTTTTGAAATGTGGTTTGGTGGAAGGCTGGCAAATCCTATTAAAGGGTCATTTCGGCATGTTTAAACCAGGGCCCTGTTTCCACATATTTTAGGGTCAAAATGACTCGTAGGTACGAATCTGCAGCCGTGGCGTCCACAGAAAGTGCTTCTTCTGCCTGCAACAGGCTCAGGCTGTTACACCAGGTGTCTGACAGCATCATGGAAAGGATCCCTACAAGGGACTCCCGCTGACCCCCTTTGTTTTTAACAGGAAACTGAAGTCTTGCGAATCTGGCGAGGGGACAGTTGTTGCAGGAAGATGGTGGTGGAAACGAGGGAGAGGAGTTTGTTGTGTAGGTAGAGGAGCTGCTAGAATCTCCAACACAACAAACTCTTCTCTCCACCTCACATTACCACCAGCGTCTTTCTGCAACAACTGTCCTGTCACGTGATTTCAGAGTGAGACTTCAGTCCTGTTAAAAACAAAAGGGCTCAGCAGGAGTCCCTCGTAGGGATCCTTTCCATGACGCTGTCAGACACCTGGTGTAACAGTCTAAGCCTGTCTGTGTTTTTTTTGTTCCCTGAAGGAAAATGCTGTGACTGCCGGCTGAAGCAAACCTTTTCGTTCCTTCTAGTTTACAACACCAACAAGTGTGGGAACAGGGCCCAGGTTAAGACATACAGGAGTTACCATTTAAGAGCGAAACACCAGCCCATTCAGCGCCATGGACCGGGCCAACAGTCCCTGAACTGATACCTGGAGAGAGGGAAATCCAGCTTTCTGTCAGAAAGCCGTCAGGAGGTCAGGTGACGTAGTTTAAGATTATAAAGAGATCTGTAGGAAGGAGGTCGGGGTGGATGGATGGGTTTTTCACCCAGGAGACACGTGTCCTGTGTGAAACCAAAAGTCAACATTGATTTATTATTTTAACCCGACCATGATGTTTGGGCCGTCCCCCGAGCAGTGCTGAACAGACCCAGTCTTCATCAGAGAGGTAACATGAAGAGGATTTATAGTCTCCGCTCTGTTAACGGAGGAATCTCACATTAAAGTAATGCTGTTTGCTGCAGCTGCATCAGAGTGAGACATTAGTTTGAATTAATTTGAACTTGATTGTGTGACAGAGTGACTACCCAAGTGAAATATCAATATCACGTGCAAAGGTTTCCTTACTGCCTTCATGAACAAACTTTTATTTGACCTTTTCATTTAGCTTTATCAACGTTGTCACTGTAGCACTTTTACTTTTGTAGAGTAACTGGAACATGTGCACTACATGCAGGCTGCTAAAGACTGACCATATCACTTCATTCCAGTACGGACATACAGAAACATTTCTAACCACTGCAGCGGTCTACACACACATTAGCGTTTGTTTTGCACTTCTGATATGTTGTAGTATTTAGTGAGCTCAGTGTTAGCATGCGTCAGGGCTGAGAGGATGTGTGTCTGGCGCTCTCAGGTTTCTTATGTAAGAGGAAATTTGGACTGAATTTAATATTTCACATTAATCCTCAGTTATCAGTTTCATCAGCAGCAGGAGAGTCTCCCTGTCGTTTCATTCTCATTCCTAAAAGGGACTAAAAATCGAGTCGGAGCGAAGACAAGTAACAGGAAGTGGAACTGTGCTTTTATTGATGGACATGGAGTCCACTGTATGTCAGGTTTCTAACGGCTTATAACAAACCATGATGGCACATATATGTACATTCCTTATTTGTTTCATGTCTCTGCTTTATGTTTTATTTAAGAGATTATTTTTTATACTGTTTTATTGTTATGATTTGCTGCCTGTGAATAATTCACTGCATTTCTAAATGGACTGAGGCGGTCCTTAATAAAATTATTGTTTATAGTGAAGGCATTGCATTGTCTTCAATAAATATGTTATCCCATCTAAACTCCACACTTGGCGTGGCAGGTGGCGTGCTGGAGCAGTGTGCAGGAACATGTCCTGCTGCGAAGCATGTTTCATCTGACTTCCGTGGAGATTTAGCCGGCACCCTGCGCTTCTTTAGAAGTCTTTGTTTCTACAGATGCAGAGAACTGGCACAACAAGCTGCAGCGGTGGAATAAAGAGCAGAGAGACCTCTGTCTTGTGCCTTTATGATTGTTCAAATAAAGGTCCCTCTGTTCAATCACACAAAGTGTCTGCATCTTTATTTGTCTAGACTCAGATGAGGCTGCATGCACTGATTCCTGCTGTCTGTGTTCACTAGAGCTGAAAGGATTAGTTCAATCATTGATTTCATGGTCAGAAATAAGCAGAAGTAATATGGACAGTAATAGTTGTTTGCAGTGTTCACACTGTAAAAAAAGACTAATCATATTTCAAAAAACCCAGATGATCCCTGTAGCAGTATAGCGGCTCAGATCTTTGGACCTGTTGTCCAGCCTCCCTCAAGCTCATCCCATAGTTCCCACAGTTACCACAACATGGTCAACCACAGTAGCTCTGAATTCATCAGTTCTCATATTCCTGACTCCCCTCCTTCTCCCTCATCCTACTAAATCTCACCCTCTCCTCTTCTTACTTCTTCACCTCCTCTTCCTCCTCTAAATCTAACCTCTCTTCCTCTCTGTCCAAACATAAACAGCTGAGGCTGATGGGAATGCCATTTGTCTTGCAGGTATCTTAATATCAGGCACATTAAAAGGTTTGACATGATGGTGGGGCCAAATGAAGTCACAATAAGGATGGAGTTAGGAAGTTGTTAGGATGGATGGATGAAGGGTGACCATCACCAAAGTCACACAACATTGGTTGGCTGGTTCAACATATCCAGGACTGTGTATTTACTCTGGAACCAAAGTGCAGGCAACATTATAAAATCTCTAAAAGGCATCAACCTTTTAGAACCCCAATCAAGTTGTTCTGATTATTTCAAACTGGTTTACTGTGTTAAGCATTGTAAACGATTTAATAAATATTAATATTTTGAAGTCGTAAGGTACATTAGGTCATTAGTATTGATGGTTTCCTACTGCTCCATTAAACACCAGTACATGGTCCATTAACCATCAGAGCCCTGATTAGAAGGTGTTACTGTTCTGTTGGCTCCTTAAAGACTATCTCAACATCTACACGGCGCTGCAGTTGTAGTCGTAGTTTTCCTTGATGCTTGATATTTAATCTGTGCTGAGCTCTGCGGAGCCATGATGTGTGACAGCCCTGGGAATCTCATTATAGCGCAGGTGCACAAGCATTTACCCCTGCATGACTACTGACAGACCTGAGACCAGCAGATCGCCCAAACAGCTCAGGTACACTTCAGCATTAACCAGCTCTGACAGGAACAGGACAGAGGAGTGGAGACACAAAGCCTGAACAAGTCTCAGGAGAGAACCAACTGTGGTCCTGGACAGAGTCTTACATCCTTCATAATGAACATCATTGCACTCACAAGCTATAGACTCTGGGGCTTCTGGCTGTGTGAGAGACGGAGGTCTGTACAAAGACCAGGGCAGGGTTTCTCTAGAGCTTTATTTTGCTCTTAGACTCGTCTACTGCAAGTGAGATAGGCCTATATCATAAATACTATATATTTCCATCACTTCAGAGGACATTCACTGACTTACATTCATTCCCTGGAGTCTTCCTCTAACCAAGTCTTCACCCTAACATATAATGATTTACATTATGTGGACTTGAGGAAGGTAGTGTGACTGTGTAAACAGATTTATGTCCCCACAACATGAGTAAAACAAGCTCTGATCTGATCTGATGTCCAGCCCAACCCCTTCATTTATCTGGCCCCAGAGTTATTTTAAAGTTATTATGAAATGTGGCCCTCTAACTACATTAAAATGCAGTTCCCATTGTGAACACTAGGTGTCAGAGTCACTGTATGGTAGGAACAGTCCCAGAGCTGCCTTCTGGGTTCGATGAGTAGTGGAGACTATTGATCTCAGCCGATGTGACAGAATCTAATCAGGATTTCAGGAATTCAGATTGAGAAGAACATGAAGCTGCTCTCTCTGCCTCTCTGCTGATGAGGAAGAAGAAGGAGGACATGCAGTTACAAAGTAAAGTGATGATGCTCCGGCAGCAGCTCTGCAGCTGAGATGAAGCTCCATTTAAATATGTGAGTAAACTGAGGCCCCAGATGACTGACAGTCTTCACTACTACGAGGCTCAGCATCACTGTTCCCACCAGGATAATAACTTAAATAAAATCCTCCTACTGCAGCACAAACTGCTTCATACTCACTCATTAACAGGAAAGTCTGTTGGCCAGGGCTATATCTTCACAGCAGTGTTTCCTCAGTGTCTTTGCTGTGTGCTTCATTATGTTTTATTTTGTAGTTTGCAAACCACATAATGGCCCCAGCAGGATTGATGTGTGAAAAACAGGATGATGCAAGCTTATGGTGGGGGAAAAGGTTTTCATTTTTATGAATTTCTTTTTTATCATTGTAAATTGAGTTTATAGTTCAACATGTTCATAATGAATACAGTTCATATGAAGCTGGGGTGGTGGGTAAAGTCACTAAGACCTCATCATTCTGTGAAAAGTCCTCTCTAGTGTGAGACACTGAACTGACACTGAATTCAAACATATAGTGTTAGATTAGAGACTGACAAAAGGACACGTGATATTTATCCTGCAGGCCATCGTGCACAAAGAGGCGGTGAAAAAGTTACATACAACAAATGTGCACACACATAAAACCACAGACAGGCTAAACCTGGCCCTGATCTGAAGTCTGACTCAGATTAGTCCCAGAGGTGTTGCTTGGTAAAAGGAGCTCATTAAACATACTGAGCTGGTCTGTCCCTCCTCCTCCCCACCACCAACACCATCACACATCTGTCAAGACGATCGGACAAAATCAGAAGTCAGAGGAGAAACTCACGTCAGCATATTGAGATTATTAACATAATTTACACATCATGGAGTCTAATTTCTAACCTCACTGTAACCTTTTCATACCTCTTGACTTCACAGCTGTTGTAGTTTTAATTGATCACACTCCCTTACATCAGAGTATAATATCAAAGCGACTGCTACTAAATCCAGAGTCTCTCCAGATAACAGAGGAGGCAGGATCAACACACAGCAGCACAAACAGGGAAACACACACTGCCGTGGTGTTAGTGGCCTTCCCCCCACTTTACTGCTGTGAGAGTCTTTGTCTCTTTGGGCCAGTTTGGAAGGTGACTTTTGGACTTTGCAAAATGTCAAACTGTTTTCCTGGCACTCACCTCCTCAGCTCCAGTGAGCATATCCATACATTTATAGCACTTTATATTCAAACAGCTGTAACTGACCCACTCAAACATCCTGATGAGGGATGATGATCTTTACGAGAGGCTCTTGTGGTGCAGCCCAGGCTGATTGGATGTCACGCTGTCATTTAGCTCCACTGATTCTAGCCAGTAACAAAGCCACACCTTTATCATGTGGGCTAATTAAAGCGTGGCCATAATGAGTGTGTCAATGTGTGCAGAGGTGGGTGGCTCTCTGTCATTAAACTGGATTAGCAAGGTAAGAGCAGGAAAAACATTCCTGTCTAACAATCTGTTAGCGGTGAACAAACCTCATGACTGCAGCTGCAGTTTCCTCCCCTGTGAAGGTGATATCATCTGCATGTGTTCATTAATTAATAATTATAATTTCACACAGAAGTGACCTAATGGCTGCAGGTTAATAAGTCAGATCTAATTGGATGAGCTGCAGAAGTTAAGACAGGGGTTAAAATGCAAGGTAGCATTTTAACCCCTGTCTTAACTCCTCCCTCGCCTCCCCGATGACTCTCGCAGACCTTCGTCTCTTACAAGACCGCTCTTCATTTTCAGCTTGGTCTCCTTCACAATGTCTAAACTCAGAAGTAGTCGCAATGTGACCTTGTTTAATTTCTGTGTTTGTGTTAACATTCAGTTAAAGATGACTGATGGCCAGGACAGATGAAAACAATAATAATATAATATAATAATAAAACAATAGTAAAACAATCACGTAAGTCTGTGTAACATATAATAATGTCTTTCCATAACACGTGGAGGTGGACAGTAAAATAGTTTTAAGCTTCCTTACTGAGTTACAGAGCAGTGCCGTTCAGAGGTGACGTGGATCCAGATGCAAACACACAAACACACACACACACACACACACATTCACAAGTGTGTAACATACAGCACATATATGTATCCATGTGCACATAAAACTGAATATAAGCTGGTGACTGTCCTTTAGTACCTAGGCAGACTAACAGATGTGTTTTTAGTTTAATTTGAATGAGTCAACCGAGCGAGTCTCTCCAGTTTGGACAGGAAGATGATTCCAGAGAAGAGAAGCTTGGAAAGACGAGCCCTGCACCTGCTAATGTCTAATTTATTCTTGTGATACTCAGGAGAATAACAGGCACATGAGGAGTGACTAGATAAGTAGAGTGGTGCACATCCATGTAATATGTATAAGTTAAAGTCCTGGTTGGAAGTTGTCATTTGCTAATACCGGATTTAAGTGAGCCATAGAAAAGTGCTTCAACATCAGCCAGTGGGACGGATTTTGGCAATAAATGGAAACATGCAGTCTTTGTCATAGTTCAGAGTCAGGTTGTTGAATGTGTTCCTAACCTCCCTTGGACAGAGAACTAGCCTTTCAGTTTTCTCAGCATTTAAGAGCATCTCTTTTGTCTCTCTCTGCATTCTTCCAGTTTAACGAGCTGATGACAGCGTCAGACTTCATATAAATCTGAGTATCATCTGCAAAGATTTAATTTTATTAATTCAGTACCAAGGTGCAACAGAACAAGACCAAGCACAGATCCCTGTGGCACACCATGACTGACCTTAGTGCAGTTGTTTAAAACAAATCTGTGGGTTAAATTTAAACAGAGCCGTGTGAGTGAGACCATCTAACAGAATGTGGTGATCAGTCGAATGCTGCGCTCAGGTTTGGGAGCACCAGGACTGAAACTGAGCCGGAGTCTGAAGCAAGCAGTGAATCATTTAGTCAGAGCAGGTTCTGTCTGAACTGATGAGGATCATACAGATTACTGAATTAAATTATTGGATGATGCAGGTCATCAACTATTCGGAGTGAGTCGCTGGTTCAGTTCCCCGGCTGCCCCAGTCCAGTCAACGGCTCCAGATGGCTACCAGTGTTTGTGTTGATGAGCTCAGTATCATCGTTAACA